TACTAGACCAACTGGCTCATCAAATAACATGTGTGTGCATATGTATACTAATAAGTGGCTTGCATTGCTTACTGCTTAACCTACCTACTTATTAATCAATTTAAGGACAGAGAAGTATAAAATTGAGTTACGTGGGTTTCGCTTAGAATTTTAAAGCTAAATTCCTAATCACTCTTTCCGTATCAATAAGGATACGATAGTATTCGTTTGAAATTTCATCATTGTTTGCACTATTTACCTGTTGCAATATCATTATCTGAATACAAGCATCGCTTTATTTGTGTGATTCACAAATATTTGTTCTAAGTCTAGGTGTGCTAATGTGTCTTTTAATTACACTCGTATGTTCGGTAAATCCCGAAGTCTACTTAGTGATATTGTATAAGTGGAGCAATGATCATTTTCCAATAATATAAACAGAGAAGTAGTCCAAATCACTCATAGATAGAAATAGAATGAAATTGATGTCAGTTATCAACTTAATTTAGAGACCATTGCAATGAACAGTGCAGTCTCTGCTTAACGCCGATCGATCACTGTCTAAGAGATAAAGGCTTATACACAAAACCTGAAAATAAAATAAATAAATACCTTAGAACTTATCGACATATTGAGGACATACAATTTAGTTCAATGGTATGAACCTTGCATACTAATGAATGAGACAAAGAGTCGTATTAAAAACATTGGTGTTTTAATAACACTCTTTTCGTGTTGGTTTGTCAGCCTTTTGGTCCCGGTATAAGTAAGCGTTGACCTTGTTTGATCTGATTAAGATCTTGAGTTCGATTGCTCAACGAATTCCGAAATTGATTGAGATAAAATATAGCTCTTCTTATGTAGTACATAATTGCCAAACACTATCTTTGGTTTGTTAGTATATTAACATATACATTAGTAGTATAGTTACTGATTAAGGTTTACAAGCCGTGAGTGGCATAGCAAAGTATATACCTGATACGCTGTAGCTAACTTCAAAACAATTTGATTCGTGTTTACGGTATCGAACACGATCCGGCGATCCCGAATAGAACCGATGTCTTTGTCGAAGAAATACTAGGCAGTATAACGCCACGCCTACAATAGGCCCAGCTGATCTCATTGTTTAGTCTACACATGAACGCTTTTAATTCTCAGCAAAACTCATTACAATACCATGCTATTACAATTATCTAAACGAAAATTATTAATTAACATGTGTGTCGACTGTCGGAATATTTTCGATAGACATAAACGTTTTTAAAATGGTCGAATTGGTTTTGTAAAGTTTTGAGAGCTTTCAGTCTTATACAATTAAAGGTTTTCTTTTTAGAGTTATTTTAAATTTGGTCTACGAGCTTGTCTTGGACCTGTGACTACACGCAGTCAACTTGGCTCAAACGTCGAGCAAATTGAAGGTATGTAATAATTATTACATGATCGCATTAATTCTCTATCCATAATATTTTCATATCATAGAACGCGAAAGTTTAAAATTATATTCATGAATTGTGATCAACAACTTTGCCTTGCAAGGTTTTCTAAACTACAGAAACGAATTATCACAGATAGACTTTTACCGCTTTCATGGTATAGAAAGTTGCAAAATCAGCTGCTTACTAACCTGGATGGACCTGCTGGCCTGTTGGTTTGTGATTTAAATTATTTATTTGCTTTAAAAGGGGTAGTACATAATGTGGCATTATAAAACAGGTCTGATATGGACATAGGCCTCTCCTTAGAAAGGAGGTTTAGGCCTACTGTACCACCCTGGGTTGGTATAGGGTTTGTGTCAAGTTTTCCTTCTCTTTGGAGTGCTGTTGTCCTGCGTAGTTTGCTCCCTTAGTCGGCTCTTACGACACCCACTGGATGAATAGGGGTGGTGACACTGTGTATTCTTAATTCGTCACCGCACTATGGTATATATAGTATATTATTATTTTGCTATGCATAGTATTTTATTATTTTCTTTCCTTAGGTCAACCATGCGTCAATTACATTAGGCTCTTGTTCTATTCTGACTGTAATAGATCTATAATAGATATCCATGGGAAATAATCGTGCGTTGTTTTTATTTGTTCTATTTGGATGTAATTTATCTATGAAATATAAGTACTATTGCTGTGATAAACATACAAGTATGTTTATCAGCAATGTGGTACTATGATATAGGATTCTACCTAATTTGAGATCTTACAGCTATGTGTAAGACAGTTTATATATGAGAGGGTTTGTTTTTCGTCAGTTACGAGTATACTCAGATGACTTTAAATAAAGTAGCTAACTACAACTGTCTACATTATCCACTAAACCAAATCATAAACCATCGTACAAAAATCGAGTAATAGTTAGTTAGAACGTCGTGATCGTACAAGTGGACCGGATCTCCGGCGTGTGCATCGGCGAGCGGAAGTGCGCAAGACTTCCGCTCCCTCGGGAGTCACCGTCACGCGTCGCGGCGACTGCGCAACCGTGTCTTGCCAACGAACGGCTTTCACGACACAACAACATACACTACACTACCAATATTAAATGAGTTTTAAATATGGAAGCCGTTGGAATATGGAAGATATTAGACGATCATTGGAACGAGTTCTACATTCGTAATCACTCATTAGTAAAAATCCTTTCGGAATAAAACTTTCTTCGATTTAATAATTCAAACAAAGTATAATTCCAATATTATATAACGAACGCGACGAAAACGTTTCATACACTTAAATGTGGTTTCATAAAAAAAATAGTAATTGAATCACTAAATTTTGATATTATTGTCATCATTATGCAAATCAAACTACTACCATTAACGTCGACGCAACTAAACATTAGTTTTTAAGTTATCTCATTAAAACATGTAACTTGAGTAACAATTAAAAAATTTCATTTCTATTTTGAAAAATTTATTGATATAATTATATCAAAATCAAACAATTTCAGGCCTTAAAGATGCATTCGAGTCATGTTTAGTTTAAATAGTAGAGCCGTAGCCATACTTTGTAAGACACGATACCTATCTATTTATATATATATATTTGAAACAGCAACCTTTATAAAATTAAATCCATTATAAAATTAAATGAATTATTTGAGACTTTGGCAGATATTGTTACATGAAATAGAAGGACAAAAACACGCCATAGACTTCGCATACATAAAGCAAATACAACTTTATTGCATTAAAGCATTTTCTGCATGGCGCCAGTTATATATAACAGGATACCATAGGAACTTAAAAAAAAATATCATTGAGATATAAATATTAATCTATTTAAGAAGCGCCCTCATTACTATTTAGTAAAAAAATGCTACTATGCAGCAAGTGACTTTCTTTTGGTCAAGCGGTGTATTATTATTAGTGGAAAAGTGGAAAGTTTGGTGTATTATTATTAGTGGAAATGATTTATTATTATTGTTACTTAATTAAATTAATTTATTTGTGATTTAAAGTATAATATTGTAACATTTTGAAAATTTAAATTGACATTTTTATTTGATCGAACGTTAATTGACAAATGTGATTTATTATTTTTATATCAAATGACAATTATTTTTTTAACTAATGTTTGCATGCCGTTAAGGTTTGAGAAACCAAAGAGGACATGTACAAATAAAAATGTAACACCAGTGTACATCTTTGATCAGCTCAAATACTCTTAATTAAATTTGAATAAAAAATTATGAATTATGTTTTTTATTGTATTGGGGAGCAAACGAGAGCTATCGTGAGAATACGAAGTGTTACCACCCCTATTCATCCCACGGGTGTCGTACGAGCCGACAGAGGGAGTAAACTATGCAGAATGACAGCACTAAAAGGAGAAGGAAAACTTGATACAAGCCCTATATCAACTCGTCTGGCTAGCGTGGTGTAGTAGGCCAAAACCTAATTTCTAAAGAGAGGCATATCTCCAGCAGTGACTGTAAAGGTAAATGATGAAACGCAAATGAGCAGACGGGTCACCTAATGGTGACACCTACAACTCATGAGACAACCGCGACCCTGCCCTCTGAATGCCTCCTTTTGGTCGGACCTCCAGAAACCTCACTCATTCATTTAAAGCAATAAAAGAATTGCTCAACATCTGTATTCTGTATAGCCGTGGTATCATTCCCGTGGAGCTTACCCGTATATGCTTATAATGGGCCTGTAGGTCTAGTGGTTATTGACTCTGATTGCAAAACCGAAGGTCTCTGGTTCGATTCCCATCCAAGACAAATATTGTGTGATGAGCACGGTCATTTGTTCTCTGTCTGGGTGTAGTATGTATGTATTTATATATACTCGTATGAGTATGTTTATCAACAATCTGGTTGCTATAGTATAGGTTCTGCCTATTTTCATACTGCCGTGTGTGAGGTGTGTGAAATTATTATTGTATGTACAAAAGCATGGCTCTTCCACGGTAAATTGTTATTCACTGTTCTCAATCTCAGTAACTTCTTCCTAAATACTTCGTATTAGAGTTTTTGTTCATAAAGTCTACAATTGTTATAAAATATTGCCAGTACTTCGTTGTCACTTATACGAACTTGAAAAACCCAAACCAACAGAATTAGCCGGTTTTGTGAAAGAAAAACGGTAGGTATATCTGGTTTTTACATGTCCTAGTTACAACCTCAGATTGTTATTATGTAAAATATTATTAAATTAGTATTTCCATTCTTATTTTTATTAGTTATTGTTCATGAAGTTTATTTTATCTGCAACTAGTGTCTAGTACCTATAGTAAACCATGAAATTTATCTCTCTACGTTGTTTGGTCTTCGTTCACATGTTGTTTATTACCGTGAATCTTTTGCTTTGAATATTTTATTTTAAATATGTATGTATTTTTATTATGTAGTTATTTATCTGAGTCAAGAATTAAAGAGGTTTAAATGCAGCTGTGGCTAAAAGTTGACGCCTTTATGATTTACTTTTTTAGCGTGTCAATTTTGAATGTAGATGTCAAAACAGCTACTTGTTTTATAATTATTTATTAGGCTTACACATTTTTATATAATAATTATACTTCAAAATAATGTCTAGAAATATTGATGACAAATCTACTGATAACGAACCTCCAAAAAATGTTTTACCTCCAGATATTTACACAAATATACATCCAAAAGTTGAAGCAGCTCAGGTAAAAATGACTATTAAACCGATTTTAAAATTCTTTCAAAACTTTTGAATTTATTTTAAATTGCAAAGCTACATTACACCAATATACAGCGAGTAACATAGGCTTCTTTTTCAACACAAAACCTAGTACTCATATATTTTTGAATACATACACATTATAGGTCGGTGTGGTGACGGATTAAGAATACGAAGTGTCACCAAGTCTATTCATCCCGTGGGTGTCATAAGAGCCGACTAAGGGAGTAAAATAAGCAGGACAAAAACACTGCAAAGTGAAGGAAAACTAGACACAAACCCTACTCCAACCCGTCTGGCCAGCGTGGTATAGTAGGCTAAAGCCTCCTTTCTAAGGAGAGGCCTATGTCCAGCAATGGACTAGTAAAGGCTGTTGATGATGATGATGATGATGATGACACATTATAGATAAATGGCACCCAGACGCAGAACAAATGACCGCGAACGTGCTTATCACACAAATATTTGTCCAAGGTGGGAATCGACCCTACGATCTTAGTATTAACTAATCATTATTCAAACAGGCCAATCCTATATGAAATGAACATGTGCCAAACAAAACATATTGTTACCTGTTCACGCGTAAACCGCTGAAACGATTTAGATCAAATTTAGTATAGAGATAGGTTGAGTCTCGGGAAAGGACATAGGATAGTTTTTATTCCAGAAATCAGATTTTAAGGACGTGAAAAGGGGGTGGAAGTTTGTTTGGGAAATCAATAACCGCTGAACCGATTCAGATAATATTTGGTATGGAGATAGTTTGGGTTTTGAGAAAGGATATAGGCTATCCTTTCTCAAAACCCAAGGAGAGAAAGGATATACCGCGATAACCGACATACACGCAGGCGGAGTCACGGGCAAAAGCTAGTATTTAAATATTTTCCTCTTCTGAGTATATCTGTGAGCTCTTCAAAAAACTGGTACGAGTATTAAAATCGCTAACCACTAGACCAACAGGTCAGTCCGAAATATACATAATATATTTGCGTAGGAATCTCAAATTTACTTGATTTTGGTCCCAGTTCGCCTTTGTTGAATATATCGACTTATCACTAGTACCGTATAACCGGCCTGCTATCTTACTTCATGTTTAGCTACTTTAATTAAATTATAAAATACTCGTTTTGACACTTCAGATCTTTCTACCTATGATTTAAAATACTATCTGCAATTGTCTTCTATAAGTTGGCACTAGGTAGAATAGTTGAGGTTCTCTTTCAGTGGGGAACTGTAGGCTATAAATGTAAGGCCTAATACATAGCTCTGTATAAGGGGTAACGAACGAACTTCTCTGTTGATTTTATCCGTAGTCAAATCGTGACGTGAAGAAAACCAATTATTATTGTGCATTTGTGCTTGTTTTTTCAGAATATAGCTGCAATATGAGTTCTGCTTATGTTCTTAGTGATTTAGTTTGTTGTAATGCATGAGTTTTTTAATTAATAAACCTGATTTATAACTGCATGCTTCACAGATACCCCTCGGTGGCATAAAATTAGAAGAAAGGGAAGTATTGGATCTCCATGAGCAACTTGTGTATTATCACATGAAACCTCCCCCAGTGCCGACGCCAGCATATCCAATAACCATTTGTTGTTCACCAAAGTGTTTACGTTTTGAGCTCATTGATGAACCTGTACTGGCTAAAGTTGGGTAAGGATTCACAATATCTACTCTCAAATTGGTAACTAAAAGAACAAAGTTGATGAAACTGCTTCTAAATTATATTCTGCTATATGGTACAGTCATTTTCGCACTGCTGTAAACGAGTATGAGATGAGTTTTAATATTAATAATTCATAAGTCCCAAGAACGAGGCATTTTTCAAAAGACAGATTCATAGATTCCTCCTTGTGATACACTATGAACTGTTGAAAATAAAAAGGAATAATTTACTGTACAGAATTATAAATTGCTCTGCGCGTCCTATCTATATGCAGTGCTGTGGACTATGGGGCGATAAGTCGCGACTTGGTGCTAGTTGGCGGTCCTACCCTCGTAATAGATTTTGGCTACCTCCAGGACTCCACACAAATGTATACGTCCGAGCAGTACCACGTCTAAGCACACCTGTCGCATCAGCTACCTCTGCTCTACAAATTGATGCAAGTCATTTAAGAGATAACGTTACGGGATACTTCGAGATTCCCATAAAGACATATTTCTTAAAATACAAACCAGTTTGTGGTGAATAAAGTTTTTTTTTCTGTTTTGTTTTTGTAATTAATAAGATAATAAAGTAAAACTTCACTAAAGAGACTTTACTGCAGTGTTTTACTTCATATTGCTTCAATGAGTTAACAAGTAAGGATTTTTTATTTTATTTTAACAGATATTTGAGTTACCGGTCCAAATAGGTCAAACTGTTGCTACTATGGGATTCACATTGATAGTGTATTGGGTCTTGTTAATTGTCGTAGAAGTACATAGCTGTTTACATTAAAAATTATAGATTTATGCTTTAGATTTAAGAGCCACTTTTACGGTATTAATAATTACTAGATGTAAATAATAACGTTCTTTCCACTTGAACCCACTTCAATAGTGACACAATCGTGGGGTATTGGTGATAATATTTTCTGTGCCAAATTTCGGCACCATTATTTTTCACTATATGCCGACCAAACCTTATGAAACTAAGTATTTTTTTTAAATAGTTGGTTGGTTGCCATTTAAGCAACACTTAGAGCAATATGTATTCTTCATTCCGTATCAAATAATTTTTTGTCTAGCTGTTTCCAAGTGAAATATAACTTAATAATAATTGATACAAACATACTTGTGAAATAAAACGGTTTTTTTTATTTTATTTAAAAAGAGAACTCCGGCACTAGGAATATATTGTGTCGCGAGGACTTTACAAACATACATAAATCGACACAAAGAATACCCATACTCAAAAAACAATTTGTGGATCACACAAAGTGTCGTCCCATGTGGGGTTCAAACCCACAACACTCAGTGTAGTAGGAAGAAGCATGGCGACCGCTTAAACCACTACGCCATCTGCGCAGTCAGCAGAGATGTATGCTTCCTTTTTTATAACGGGTGTCCCAAGAAGAACGCAATTTTTAAATTTTAAATAAAACACAGATATGTAAAAAAAAATCGTGTAACTTTATTATATCGTAAAGTAGACAGAATGAGGTTATGAATGGAACAATATATCGTGCAGATGGCCGCCGCGGCTTTGCTGGCATGCACGCGATCTTTTAATGAAATTTTCAATGACCGTTTTGCATGAATGCTGCGGTATTTCATTAATGCAGCGTCCAATTTTCTCTTTTAAGGCTTGAGTCGTCGTCGGCTTATTCGCGTAAACCATCGACTTCAAAAAACCCCAAAGAAAAAAATCTTATGGTGTTAAATCGCACGATTTAGGCGGCCAATTCTGATCTCCAAAACGCGAAATAACACGACCGGGCAATGACTGATGCAGCAATTGAATTGTTTCTCTGGCTGTATGACATGTGGCGCCGTCTTGTTGGAACCACATGCCCTCCACATTCATTTCTTCAATTCTAGGCAAGAAAAAACTGGTTATCATTTCACGATACCGAACACCATTGACTGTTCGTTAATTGGGTATTGGAGAGACAACATGAAAATGCTGATTTTGCCGATAAAATCATCTTCAGTGACGAGTGCCTAGAAGTGAAGTGAGTGCCTAGAATTGAAGAAATGAATGTGGAGGGTATGTGGTTCCAACAAGACGGCGCCATATGTCATACAGCCAGAGAAACAATTCAATTGCTGCATCAGTCATTTCCCGGTCGTGTTATTTCGCGTTTTGGAGATCAGAATTGGCCGCCTAGATCGTGCGATTTAACACCATTAGATTTTTTTCTTTTGGGGTTTTTTGAAGTCGATGGTTTACGCGAATAAGCCGACGACGACTCAAGCCTCAAAAGAGGAAATTGGACGCTGCATTAATGAAATACCGCAGCATTCATGCAAAACGGTCATTGAAAATTTCATTAAAAGATCGCGTGCATGCCAGCAAAGCCGCGGCGGCCATCTGCACGATATATTGTTCAATACATAACCTCATTCTGTCTACTTTACGATATAATAAAGTTTCACGATTTTTTTTTTACATATCTGTGTTTTATTTAAAATTTAAAAATTGCGTTCTTCTTGGGACACCCGTTATAGGGTCGATTTCACGAGTTGAATTAATTTGTCCTTTTTTTTTCGCTGTCTACAAATACTCGTTTTATTGCTAACTGACGGTGTATAACGTTTACTTCAGTAAAATTATATATGCAAAATGTAATATCACGGTGTGTATCGACTTAAAAGTGTAAAAAATGAAGATCTGGGTAACACAAATGAGTTACCTAGGAACACGAATGAAATTCTCATAACACAAATGAAGTCTGCATGACACTAATGATATTGGCTAACTGATCCTCCTGATTTAATGATTGATATCGAGTTTTTTTAAGAATGCACAGGTAACTATTTATGTAGGTACCATGAACATTTTAAGGTGAGTAGACAGTGATAATAAAAACAAAATTACTTTTATTAAGCTTTTAATCTTTGGGTATCATACTTCTAGCTGAGCCTTACTGCTTAACTGGGGCCCTCCCTGAGGTAGCGACATGGTTCGGAAAGGGAGACAGTAGGAAAGTGTTTATATAGCAGTGAGGTTTATATAGGTTATATAGCAAACATCCTCTCACCCCTCCCCTCCCCTTGTACCACGCAGCTCAAGAAACTGTTAGTCAGGCTACGGTTACTGTTGTTTCTTAATTCTATAATTTCTTGATTCCTTGATTTTTTTTCCTATTTACTTTATTTTGTAATCAGTCTTGATTATGTTTTACATTTACAATCACTTTTTGTTCTTCCATCTCTATTCTTATTCTGTGTTCAATCGTTCCTTGATAAAGCAGAGAAAAGCCTCTTCATGCCCACCAGACACCTTCTGTTGAGTATTTATAAATGTCTGATTTGTCCAATCAAATTTTACATCTGCTAGTCTTTTTAAATTTTCTTTGTTTCTAGCTTTTGTAATTTGGCATGTTCCGGAAGTTCACGGATTAAGCCGATTAAAATACTGGATGGATACATCGTTTAACACTGTAATTCGTTTGCTTGGTGGAATTACTTTAATGTTTTGGACCACAGATTCGACGACACTCTTATACATTTTATGCAGTTGCATATGTTTATTTTCATGTTCCCAGATTTTAGCCATACACAGAAAACAACTTAGTTTTCGGAACTCAATAAATTCGGATCCAGAATGCCAGATCACTTGATGAACTGACAAAGTACCCTTGAATGGTGAAATATCCTTAGGAAGAAGAAGTTCTTTTTCTATAATTTCATGCTCCTCTACTACTTTTATCTCTACATTTTTGACATTTTCGCGAACAACGGCAAGGAATGAGGAGAAATCTCCGACATCGCGCCAACATTTAACTTCATTATCAGCTGTCCGTTTTACCACAGCGCCAACACCGTCGGGAGCGCCTTTGCCATGACCACTTTCTTGATAATTCCATGTAACTAACTTTAACGACGGGAAGGTTTCGCGGAGCTGAGTCAATATGTAAAATATATTTTTATTTCGGTACTGGCTTGTTGGACTATCTGTTAAAATGTGTGCAGTAGTTATATAGGGACGTTTTTCAAACACAAACTCTAATGCCTTCTGTAAGTGCGCCCAGACAGCAGGGGAATCATGCCGTGTACATTCGCTAACAGTGCATAGACAATGGTGAACAGTCTCTCTTCCTTCCTTAAGATAAGCCACCACGGTATGAAGAGACACTTGTCCACGGCTACCTCCAAAGTGTAGACTCTGCACTTCTTCAGCAAATTTGTAACTATAGTTTTCTGAGAAGTCCATATGGAGAATTGTTTCGTCATGATTAAGGGATTGTTTCAATAAAGTCACAGCTTGGTATTGACTTAAGATGTTTACAGTATGAATAAAAAATTTCGGCAGGAAGTGCTCTAGTTTAAAAATTAGGTCCTTAGGCTTTATTCTCCTTGTAATTTTTTTCATTATATTTATTTCTTTGGAGCCTACTTTTTTTTTATCTCTGCACCATTCATGGTATTCAATTTCTTCCTGATTATTAAATTCTTTGTATGGTATAACTCTGTTTTTACAAGTTTCGCAATCTCTTCCAACGCATTTTATATTGTAATTATCACAACAGAGAACGTGCAACATGTCTTGATAATTCTTTATTTCCACAATTTTATTTTTCTTTAGAGCGAAAATCAGTAAATCAATGTTCGTATGAAGCGTACATGCACATGTTTCCCTGTCATCTCGTGGCAAATATATCCAAAATGGACGTAGCCTTGTAAACGTTACATAACTAATCCGTATGTTAGGATTCTCTTTAAGAAATTTAGTATGTAAATTTTTAACTTAGTCCAGCAGATACCGTTTTTGTTTTAGTATTCCGTTTTTTTTTACATATTGTTTCTTTCCTGCGCCAATGCGACTGTTAATATCATCTTCATAAAACTTTCTAATCAATTCTTGAACGCTATCACTGCCCTGCTTAATCTTCTGCTTAAGACATTTTTTACGAAGCTCTAAACTAGGTCTACGTTTCATATTACCAGCAAACTTTAAAATAACTTGTTCGGATGTCGTTTTTTGGGTACCATCATGGCAACTCGATGTTTCAATAGGCACTTGAGTAGATATTGCAGTGTTTTCTTCAGAACCAGTATAGGCCTTATTTTGTTTCATTTTATTTAATATCTTGGTTAATATTCTGCAGCGGTTTTTGTACTTCTTAATTAATAAGGTCATTTCTTTTTTTTCCGTCGCATGTTTTAACTTTAAGGCTTTATTTTTCCTTTGGAATGTTCTATGGTTAATTTCGTTATTAATCTCTTCTTTTGTATTTTCTTCACACAATGGGTCAGAGACCTCTTTATCATTTATTTTTCCACGACCTTTCAGCACTTGAGAAATAATAGTTACTTCTTTTATTTGCCGTTCTTTTGCTTTCTTCTTCAGATATCGCTTTGAATTTTCTCTCCAACGTTTTCTCTGTGCTCTTTGTTCCCTTGGAGACATTTCGTTGATATTTTTGACTTTCTGCTCGATTTTTCTTTTTAAGTAAGCCTCCTTTTTTTTAGCCCTTTCAATGGCATATTTTTCGGGATCGCTTTTTATCCTTTTATACTTTTCCCTTCTTGCAATCCTTCTCCTTTCTAACTCATCTTCATTTTTTTTACATTTTTCTTTCGCCATTTTAAACCTTAAACAATTTACAATATACTATTAAAAAAAATGATGTAATAATTTTAACAAAGAAATTAATGGTAACTAACTAGCTAATGTGCTATTCCAGACTGGAATCTATTTCTGTGCCAAATTTATTTTATGTACTCGTATATGTTCAGCCGTACTGGCGTAACAAATATCCGTACATCGTCACAGACTTGCATTTATAATACGAGTATAAGTAGGATTAGGTATCATGGGAGATATCATTGAGCCCAAGTGCTTGAAGTTTGCAAATAAAAATGAGTTTTTAAATCACATTTGAGAACACAAAAGCTTAAGATAACCAAATAAATTATTTCAACATTTTTCGAAGTCAATTAATAAACCGTTTCATTCGTGTAGAATGGATTTTCATTAGTGTTACTCGAAAAAATTACACTAATGAAGTGACACGAATGAAATTTTCAACAAAATCAAATTTATTGCGTCTTAGAATATTCTAGACGCCATTTAGAAGGTCACAAGAAATCCCGGTAATTTGTTGCTAATCTACGGACATAATAAGGTATTCATTATTCAAACAATTATTATCACAGTATTATAAACACGAATGATTCAATTTTCGTATTAAGCACAGAAATACAATTAAATTGCGATTTCTTACCAGAATAACGAAGCGCACGTCTGCTTTCACTCAAAATTCACGCGCTACTAGAGTGCCGCTATCCAGTATAGAGTGGGGATAGCGGTAACACACAGGTTGTTTTAATAACGGAACGTTTCATTTGGTCGACACTAATGATTGAAAAAAGTGATCGCAAAATAAAACACAGAGAAATCGTATTATATTTTGTAATACTTTAAAAGTATTAGTGTAACTTGAGTTCATGGTTATCAATGTGTAACCATAAGAAAAAAAAACACAATTTCATAGAGTAGTATTTTTTATAATTTAAGTTTTGTGGAAAAATCAGGCAAATTTCCAGTGACACAAATGAAAAAAAGGTCGTTTCTTTAAATTATCTCGAATATTAAATATGATAGTTTATTATTTCTAATTATCCAATATTAAGATATAATGTAAGTACTGCATTACATAGAAATTACGCGTATTCCGACAATATTAAAGAAGTTATTGCATAAACCCACTTTTTACGATTAGTTTGAAATTGACCCTATATCTTATCCTTGACTTTGAAATTCGACTTCACCTTAGGTATAAGTATATATTTTAGACTTGTTTATAACCTGTTTTATCATGTAAATTATTTAGAACTGGCACCGTGCACGTCATATTTGTTAAAAGAATCATATTGTTATTGAGCATTAAAAAATGACTATTTGTTCATTTAATATTCCCGCTAAATTTAAACTAAAATTGTTACTGACACTACTTAATTTAGAATTAAGTAATTTTCAGTTAAAATTTTATTGCGGTCATGTTTCTATTTTTCCGCTAAAATTGACATTAAAGTTCCACTATCAGCAACAGTAAGATTCAGTAGGAACTCAAGATTGGCTCCGCGCTTTTTAGCAGTATGACCGTATACATGTTTACAACTTAATGATAAAAAAAACATATATCTGATGATATGGACCGTAAATAAATTATTAATATCCGTGAGTTATGTAGGTACGTGTTAAAATACACATAGTTATAAAGATAATAGTTGATAAAGGAAGCACATTCTTTATCTAAGATTACAATGTTTTAATCTGTAAACAACTTGTCATGGCTTTGTTAACCTTTTTATGTGAAAGTCGGATTGTAAGGAAAAATCGTGAATTTCTTTTCCAAAACCAGCTTTAAATCGAGTTTTCGGCTCCGTACAAAAGAGACATAGGTAATGTTAAAATATTTTTATGGATATTATCGACTCGAGCGATGGAAATAAATCAGAATGTGTAACGTTATGCTTTAAAACTTGAATATTAAATATAGTGTATGTGTAAATAACATTAGTATGGCTGTAGTCGTCTGAAAGTGATTTTACGGCAGTTCTTAATTAATATTTAGAAAAATTAAAGTTAATTATACAAGCAAAACTTCACCGAGGCATTTACCTGGTATGGTTCATAGCGGAAGAGAAACAAAGAAGGCTAAAGTATGTTAAATTTAAAAGAAACCCCTTTGCTTTTCTAAAATTATGGTCATAAGCATAGCTTTGAAATTTTGTCACAGTTGTGATTTTAACCAGCTAACATGCCAATTAAACCTCCTTTCTAAGGAGAGGCCTATGTCCAACAGTTCACTATTACAGGCTGTTGATGATGATGATGAACATGCTAATACATTGTAAAAATGTGGCACGGTTTTGAAACTATCGAAGCTTATGAAGAATCGGCAACGGTCTTTCTCGTCGCGTGCGCAGCTGTAGTCCCAAGCCAACTTCCCGCGCTGTAATATTAGGCTTAATAATCTGGTCGGTGACTCAGTTCCTTTGTCTTCATCTTTAACATTATTACCAGATACATTGATTAATAACCACTGAATATATTTTTAGTTGTTTAATCATAGATTCAGTATTGGACGATCATTTTTTTATAAATTCGTTTAGGAAACGACCGCATTGCGTTTCAAAAGTAGTCTTTTGTGAGTCTTTGTCAGTCACTCTTTTTTAATCTCACTATTTGTTTAGCTAAACAAGCGATTGAATAAACAGACTGGCATTAATTAAGGAATGAAAAGTCAGGTTATTGCTTAAATTACTTTTACTTACCCTTAGTGTGGAGGGGCCTATGGAGGGGCTAATAACGCATTGACAGTATCATAAGTTTACTAGTATACTTCGCTTTGTGGCTCTGAGACACGATATTTATTGTTTAACAAAAATAAAAGTTTTTTAATTATTTAAATTAATTATATATGTATTTAATATTTATATATAATAGTATAATACGCTAAAAACCCCACTAAGAGTCAAATTGTCTCCATTTTGTGCAAATGCAATCTCTTATTGAACAATTTAAAACAGTACCGCTCATTTGAGAAGAAAATAAATTGTATGCAATTTACTTTCCAGAAAAAGAAAATAAACAATTTTTGTTGTAGTTGTTGGTGATTTTTATTGTCAACAACTTTTGCAACCAACGACGAAAAATGGCTTTGCCTCGAATGTTAATCACTCTGATTATATAAATCTTTGTAAATTATAAGAAGATAGAGAAAAGCTGTGTTTATAATAAATTAGTTCTAATGTTATTTTCGTTTTAATGTTGATTGTCGTTTGAATAAAATTATTTGTGTAGTGCCTACGAGCCACAACAGCGCGAGAAATAGATTTTACGAGTGCGTGTGGCGCGATATTTACGTGTGTTTACACTTCAGACGATTTTATAGGCGCAACGACACCGTCATGTGCCATATTAACATATAAGGAGCACTTTAGCACCATTGCGTTATTACGTAACAGCTATGTTTATACCATACACGATCAAACTAACTTTAATATACCCTGTATATTTTCGACTTTATGTTAGTTATGCAGTGCCAGTTACTAGTCAGCATATTGGTAAAATTCAATTCCGTCGAGGGACACCTTACGCAATTGTAGGGCGGGTAGAACACAACGAACTAGCAGCAAAATAAGCTCGGGCTAATCTAACATAGTTACTTTCTTTGATATTACTCCTGAGTGACTAAAAATGAGAAGAAGACTCGGTGGGGTTGACGATAAATCTTACTTGGTTTAAAATTAACATCGATTTATAATCAGAAACCTTCAATAACATAATCATAGATTAGTAATACAACAAACACACTTAAACAAATACAATACTACTAAGTGGTTGTGACAAGCTATGTCGCCAGCGAGTAATCAGTGAACCAGCTACAAGGCTTCCGGGTAATGATTGCTGCTGATTGATATTGATTCGTATACTTATTGCCGTTGTCCTGTATCTCGCGACTCCTCACTTATATGGTACCGTTACACGCTGAAACATTTGAAGGAGATAGATTAAAATAATGAATAGACATGATATAAGAGCGAAGCGTGTGTTTGAAAAAGCACTAATCCTGTAATAATAAATACATGAAATATTCAAGCAATTGAAGTGACAGAAGATCTATAGAACTCCTTCACTTAGGCATAAAAATGATTTTCCGATTGATCTAAAAAATATATATGTTGCCGAACCGAAAGAAAACAGAGAACCAACCTACCCATACCCATTCCTATATGTATACTGATGTCATCATTCTATTAACAAGGAGACAATATCATATTGTGACACCTTCTTTGAAATACCGACGTTTCACCTATTCAGTTTTGTTCAAAGCCATTTTATTATTGCCGAGGAGTCGCCTGTTCTTTATTTATACTTAACATAAAACGATTTCAACAATTTAATTTCATCGTTGCTTCTGATGTTCTATTCGGAACACAAATTATCGACTCGGTTTGATCCCACGCCCAAAATAAAATATCATATTTCCTGTCAGACGCGCAAGCTTCAGTATTCGAGTGTCTTTTTTTCCCTATTTTTTCAGGCCACAAAGTTTTTTAAGGAACTGCAGCACACATGTTGGTTCAACATAAGCATCAGTTTACAAGTTTTTGGCGTCTGACAATAATACTTACTTATTTTCAATACTTATTCTATCTTGATGAGTATAGATTTTTGTGCTAACACATGAAGAATATTTTATTTTAATAGTTAGTAATATTTAAACAAGCACTAAGCGTGGTCGAACTAGTTCAATTTTTTATATCTACTCTTATATAAGTCGTAACTATAAAATCTATAAACCTGTTTCATAATATTTGTCTTAGCCAATATATTATTGGGAAGTATTTGGGTAGAATCAGATATGGTTTACTTCGAATCGGTTTTTTATTCTATTTATTACTGTTGTTTTGAGTATAAAATGTATCGTGATATTCATATTGAAACATTAAAACATTTAAAAATAAATCATGCACGGGTGGCTTCGGTGAAGAATGTCTGCCATTTCTTTTGAGATGCCATTCATTTAATAAGAATTAGTGTAAATTGAAATTTAACATAGCACGTGCAAATGA